GAGGCGCCGGCTGCCATGATTGCGGGCAGCGGGGCGCGCGCGCACGCTCCGGCAGAGCTCGGGGACCCAGGGCGGACCGACGGGCGCTTGCCTGCCCACCACCTTGTGCCCGCAGCCCCGTGTGCGCCGCGGACAGCAGCCAGGGTCGCCAGGATCGCTCCCGCGGGCCTCTCCGCACCGGGGCCAGTGTGCGCCATGGGGCTCTAGATGAAGCCCTGAGATCAGGATCGGGGTCCCCGGAGACAGGGCTTGTGCCAGGGCGACCCCGCGGCAGCTTCCCGGGCACGTCTGGCCTGGAGGAGGGCAGTGCCTTGTGGAATGAGGGAGAGCGCGCACAGTGTCAGGAGATGTAGATGGGGTGCGCGGCCCCCGGAGGGGTGAGGGTGGCGCAAGGTGCCTGGCAGGAGGGGGGCGCGCACGGTGCCCACAGAGGCGGGGTGGGGGGGGCGCTCGGTGTTGGAGAGGCGAGGAGGGCAGGGGGACAGTGCCAGGAGAGTGGGGGGTGGCGCGCACAGTGCCCGGAAGGCGTGGGGATGGCCGGGGCACAGTGCCCGGCCCGCTGCCCGGCTCCCAGCACACTCTCTTCCTTCCCGGCGGAAACAACTTCCTGCTCGCCCCTGTTCAGGGCGCAGGAACTGCGGGATGAAGTTCAAGGCCGCAGTTCTGCTGTTTTGGAGCCCGACGGGCGATACTGCTGCCCCCAAGCCCCTCCCGGGAGTCGGGATCGGACCTGAGCCATGGCGGCACACAGATGAGAATGCCAAGGAGGCCGCGGCGGCCGTTCCTGCTGGCTCCGCCTGGACGCCGGAGAGGTTTCCCTACCCCGGCCGGCCTGGGCCTCCTGCTCTAGGGACGCAGACACGAACCACTACGCTGGGGCCCCTGTCTAGGCATACCCTCGCTCAGAGCCTAGTGGACCTGGTTGTTTGGGATGCCCGAGACAGCCCTGCAGACAGCCGGGCCGAGAAAAACGAGGCCTCCGGGCCGCATCCCAACGTCTCTTGTGTCTGTCTCTCCCCCACCCCCCCAGCTGGCCTTGGCATTCTAACCAGTGTCCCTTGACGTCACATCTCGCCATTTCTGTCAACCAATTGAAACTTGCCCGTTGTCATAAAAATATATATACTTTTTATACCATTGGTAAATTCAAAAGTTCCTCGTGTGCCCTGCTTGCGAGGGAACTTCATTCCACACCGGAGTGGGCTGCCAGGAAGGGGGATTGGCCACACGGAGCGAGGCCGGGCTGGGCAGCACTGCCAGGGCCTCGGCTGCCCACCGGCTGGGCTTCCTAGGTTCCCAGACCCCTACTCCATGAACCCCCCTCCAGACACACCACTGTGACCTTGGCCTTGAGCTGGCTCAACACCCCCCTCCACCCACAACATGCCCACCACCCTATGAAGTACAGCATTTTTGAGGAGGAAGGGAGGATACATTAGAAACCTTCCAGAATTACTTTCCTGGGGTTGGGGGGTGGGTGCAATCTTCCTGCGGCCTTTTCTTTCTAGACACACACGGCTTTGCTTTTCTCTATCAGAAGACCCGGTTTTAGAAAATGGAGAAGTGTTTCCCAGTTAAATCTTCTCACTGAAATCCTGATCAACTTTCACTTTCCACATTTGCCAGACATCACAGAAAGGACACAAGCCGGGTGATTTTCCTAGGGGGGGTACCCAAGAAAAGGGTCCAGGATGGCCCTCGCAGTTTCGGGATGGCCCTCCCGGCCTCAAGGGTGGTGGGCCTGTGAGCTGGAAGCCCAGAATTCCATGCTCTTCCTTCCTCCAAAAAGGATGCCAAGACTCGGCAATGCCATACCCACTTTCTAGCGATAAGGTAGGAAAACAAAATCCTTCTGGTCTAGTACAGCAGTCCTTTATGATTTGCTTTACTGTTAAAATCCCTAGCCAAGACGAGGAAGTGTGGACTAAGAGAACACACCTCCCACAAGATGAGGCTGAGCCGGGCAGTTCAGAAACGCCACAGTGAGCCCTCTCTCAGCCCCTCCCTGCTCCTGCAATACCGAGGAAGAATCCAACCGCTAACTGCCACCGTAATTCCCCCCTCTTCCCCATCTTTACTGTATGGTCTAACTACTTTAAAAAACATATTAAACACATTCTGTGGTTGAGCAAGTTTGGGGAATCCAAAATGACGAAAATGCATTCGCGGCTGGATGCAGAGACTTCCCTCCCCGTCATAAGTACTGTGCCCTTTTAATACCAAATCTCGTTTTTTCAAAATAATGAACGAGCTCAGTAACGACCAAGCAGGGGATTCTGAAAATAAATATATGGCTACTGTTCTCATGTAAAACCACTCCCCAGTGCAAACTCTAGAAACGCTGCAGACCTCGGTGATACAGTCACACGAAAAAAAAAAGATACATACCACATCCAACAACCACACTATAATCTATTTATAATCACTTTCCTAAACACTATAAATATTATAACTAAGGTGATATATGTTTTGTGATTAAATGGGTGGATTAAAACATTGAATTTTAAAAGCCACAAAGAAAAAGAGATTATCTTCCATTACGCCATTACAACTTTTGTTCCATTGGCACAAACACAAATTTGACAACTGTATCATTACTGAAGGCAGTAACTAAATGCCAAGATATTAGCTTGGTAATTTTCACCTGAAACCATTGTATAATCATACTGGCTTGCTACCCTTCTTTTTATTAGTGGATTTTTTTTTTTTCCTTGCTCTCATGCAGTAATAATTTAATGCCTTTTCCCCCCTTCCAATTTTTATTTGGTAAAACAACAAATTGGGTGAGTCAGAATAATACTTGAGAACACAGACTCTTTTTATCGCCCCCCCCCCCCCGCACTTGGCAAGGATTTACATATAATTTGGTTGCAGATTCAGAAATCAAATTCTGCTTTATTCAGGGAAAATAATAGCCCTCAGGTAATTTCATTGGGTATTATTCAGTGGGTTTTTTTTTTTTTTTGCCTTCTTGCTATCATATTATATTATTCAAAGTAAATAATATAAAAGCTGTGCTCAGATTTTCCAGAAGGAAGCCTGGGAAATTTAACTTTGTTCGTGAGCATGATGGTGGACAAGTCTCCTAGAGGAAAAATTTCAACAGGGCTTGTGGGCCACAGCCATGCTTGAGGGCAGGTGTTTGAAAATAAGGGAGGCTCTGGTCATGCCAGGATGTTTACAGTATTGGCCTTATTCGGTTATTTTTTTTTTTTTTTTTTCTGATTTATCCCAAGATCTGCCTAGTGGGAATGCAGCGAGCAGCTTCCTGCTGCAGCCCCAGCCCTTGGCCCACAGCCTCGGCCATCCAGCGTTTCAGTTCCATTTTCGCTTTCTCACCGCAGTGACACTTAATAGTTAAAAATGTTCGGTATCCAAGGCATCGGGAGGACTTCGTAAACAGACGCACTGAATCTAATCAAAGCCAGTAGGCTGTGTGTGAGGGAAAAATTACATTTTCACTTGGGTTTGCACATTCAAGTTGTACACTCGAGAATAATCCTGTTTCTAAAGCTGGCCCAGAGAACTTGACATTGGGAGTTTGTGGCTGTTTCTGGGTAGGATGCCACTTCAGGCACTGCAAACAATGTGCCCTTTGGAGTTGCTGCTGAGAAGCTGTGGGTACACTGTATAAAGGCAAACAAACCAGGCTTCGGGGGGTTTTTTGGTTGTTTTTTTTTTTTTCCTTTCGCTTTTGTCTCAAAGTAATTTGCAGGTTTGGGATTCCATTTTGATCCAAGTTACGTGATCACTTGTATTCCTACTTTACGGAAGACTCATTCTTGCTCTCAATTATTTATGCACAAAACCTATTAGCATCAATTTACCTGGGGTAAACATATTTTTTATTTCATTTTTCCAGTGGAGGGAGTTTACCTAGAAGAAATACGGTGGAAGATAATCCAGCATTTATAATGTCTCAGGCTGGGGAAGGATATGCAGGCAAACACCCTAGGAAGGTTTCTTTCCTTCCAAACCTACAGAAACAGTTTTCAAAAGCTTTTGCTTTAGTTCACCCAGTTTTATACCAAACTTGACATTAACCTTCTAGCAATAAAAATGCAACTCGGACTGTAGGACAAGCATATTTCAGGACAAAAGCATTAGGGCAGGGCGTCTACAACACCTCCGCGATAAAAAAAGTACGCTGGCCAACTCCTTCTACATTATCTTCTTTCTTTTTCTTTTTCTTTTTTTTTGAATGTAAAGAACAGACTTCAGTGTGCCTGTGGCTAACAGTGATCAGCGGAATGCCCCATGCTTTCTCCCGGCTGATGGATGCGAACCCCAAATCCATGCAACCTTTTGTGAGCAGCTGTTAAAGTCATTTTTAACCTACTTTGGAATCCCACCCATTCACTGTTCACTATGTGTTATGTGTGTGTGTAACATCAGAAAGAAGTCTAACAACCCTGAACGCATCCTTCAGGGGTTATTATTTTTCAAATAGAAGTAAAGCAAAACATAAAAGAAGTCTACAATAAATGTGTGTTCAATAATATATGTATATACATATGTATGCACATACACAGACATATATACACACACACATATGCTCATATATATGTGAATACACTGTATAGACGACGTATATGCCAGTGAGAAAAATTTCCCCTTATAAATGAGGAATTACAATTAATATTTTCCATGCCAAAGTAGTAACCACACAAATCAGAAATTATTAATTAAAGATGATGGGCAAATGTCCCTGGTCATATATACTATGTCAAATGCCAGAGCTTGATTCTTGAGTTTATAAAAGGGATGAAAAAAGGCGCAGTACAAACTAAATTTAAAAAAAAATCCAAAATACCTTTCAAAGAGAAGGGAGTGTTCTGTTTATTTTAGTAGCTCAATTCTGCAAAAGGGAATCATCATAAATTGTGAAATAACATTTTTCGCAGATTTATTAGCAATTTAAAATATATTAGAATTTGGAGTTTAACAGTTTTTAGTAATAAAAAATGCCAATTTCCAAGAAAACGAAAGGAGGTCAGAAAATCTGAAAAGAATTTCATTCCTAAAGTGTCCAAGGAATGCCTCCTTTTTACAGTTGAAGAACCTCGATTTATTTAAAGTATTTTTGTATCCTATCAACCCTTTACTGAGGCTTGAAATCATCGTTATTTTTTAGTGACCACATATTCTTTTTCAATTCTATATCTAAGCAGATTTTATCTGTGTCAATGTCAACTTTAAGGACTGTCAACTGTTTACGTTTTGACTCCAAAAATTTTAAATAATGCTGAAATGCTAATGAAGATCAGCTGAATTTTGTTGCTTTCCCACAGATGATATGAGAACCTTCGTACTATCTTTTAACTCTACAGTTCTTCAGTCTGCTAGTAAATTATAAGCCCTTGGAATAAAGAAACAGTCTGAAAAAGAAAAAGAAAGAGAGAGAAACAACCCTGATTTAGAGCTCAAATGGTTCATTGTTAAGCTGCAAGGGACAGCAGGAACTTTTTTTTTTTTTAATCAAGACTTCACTGATCGCTTCTTAAAAATGATTGTAACAAAACCTAAACTGCCCCGTGTGTCTCCCTCTCTTTTTTGGGGAGAGAGTTTCGATTACAAGTGTTTGAAATTTGACCACTCTGATCATATTTATTGCAATTTTATTTTTTGAATAAAATTTCAACTGATTTTTTAAATAACATTTCAATTGATTTTTTAAATACAATTTCATTTTATTTTTTGAAAATAAAATACGATTTCACACAACAGTGGTGTGTAACTTGCTTCATATATGACCACAGTTTAATTTTCCTGACTATGCCTCAGATCCCACTCACAGAAAGACAAAGTGGATTTGTCATGTATGTTCCTTCTACAAAAAAGGGAAGAGCTGTTTTAACTAAATTTATCACTGCAAGACTGGTAATAGTTAACGGTTGCAAGAGCGAAATACTTAAAAAGAAAATCAGTGTGTCTTTTGTTTCGTTTCTTGCTATTTAGAGAGCAACTTTTGATGTAATTCCTAATTTTAAAAGAACACGGAGGTCATTTTTGTTTTTTACCAGCAAGCAGTAATGTAAACAATCAGACAAGGGAAGACACTATCCTTAAGAATAAAACCACCTACATGATTTTTACATGATGAAAGTATATTTTTAAAAATGTATTTCCAAATAACCAGAGACGTGGACAGGTATTTTCACTCCTGGGCTTGGTTTTTCAATGACGCACAGCAGCAGGAATTTTTAACAACTATTATCAAGGTTCTGAGCTTTTCCTAATACCTCACCCATTAACCAGTTTTTTAACTCTGTATTCTAAATATGCTACAAGATTCTGCTTCCAAAGTGAGTCTTTCCCAGTTGACTTTTTGTCCGGGAGGAGGAACTGGACGCAGGCAATGCCAACACCATCCCCACTCTCCAAGAAGAACAAGTTCTCTGAATCGGAACGCTCTTGCGCATAGAACGCCGGACATTTACAGAACGACTCCAAGGCGCTCAGGGAAACTTCTCGTGTTGGGCACACACTTGCCGGCGCACACCTGAATCTACAGATTCGGAAAAACTAACCAGCTGTAGCCAAAAGCCAAAACACTCAACCACCCGAAAACAGTCTGCAAGAAACACAGGGTTCTTTGACGTGACGAAAAGAATTATAAATAAAATAGCACCAAGGCAGACAGGCTGAATGAGGCTTTTAAGACAGCCTGCTGGTGGCTCCAACTTGAATACTTAGAACATGAAGTGTTAGCTCCATGAGAATAATATCCTGGGAGATACGTGTGTGCACGTGTGTGTGTGTGTTAGCAGAAATAAAAGATCATGTGTGTGTGCAGAAATAAATTACCACGCAAGTATGTGTGTAGAAATAGAAAATCTTATACACGTACGTGTGTTTGTAGAAATCAAAGATTGCATACGTGTGTAGAAATAAAAGATCTGTTGGCCCCATGGCTTGGGGGCAGATTTGAGGTCCTGGTGGTGAGCCCCTAGCCCAGGTACAGAAGTGGGCCCTACCTGTATTCTCCTGAGGTCACTCCCTGTTTTCATAACACATGTGCAAACACCCAGAGGCAGTGAAAGCGGAACCTGCTGTAGATAACAGGGACCCATCTCAGATAATAGAAAAACTTTCCCTGCAATAAAAATTCGTGTTTTATGAGCAGCTAGCCAGGCTGACCTGATTCATCGTCACTGGCAGCAAAGCCCGTGTGGGCAGGGAGGCGAGGGACCGGGGGCTCTGAAGTGTGGTCTCCCCCCCAGGCAGCTCGGACCCCCCACCCCCACCCCTGGGAGGGAGGACTGGGCAGGCCCTTACCCGTGCCAGGCATGGCAATGAAGGGCGGCAGCTAGGGGAGCCCGCCTGGCCCCTGGGACAGACATGTAGGGCCACCAGGAGTACATCCCAGAGGAGGAGGATCTCCAAACCTCGAAGCCAGTCCCCCAAAGCAGTGGCCTTCTTGTCATCGTGCTCAAAGGCCATGAGGAGACTGGGATGCTCTTGATCGTGCCCAAATCTCTCACCATGCCCGGCCAACCCCGACCTTCTTAGAGCCATTGCAGAGGGTGTCAACACAGTTCAAGTCCACAAAAATACACAGACCATTTCCCATGTGCCAGGAACACGTAAGGCGCTCAACATTGGAAGCAAACACGGCGGTCTCATAGTAGAGAGTTCTTCCTAAGGCAGAGTGAGCACCTCCTGTGTGGCTAGCAAGCGCGTCATAATTCACACAGCGTCCTCACTGCCGTCTCACGCATCCTACACCTGTGAGGCACACGGATCAAGAACTGGCGTGTCCTCCCTGAAGACCGGGGAAACTAAGGCCCCGTGGTGGAGGAGGGACTGTCCAATATTGCACGGACCTGGGACCCCAACCACCATGTACACACATGCCACTCTGTTCTTTTTGGTTTTTATTTTTTAAGGAAAAAAATCACCATCCACCCCTTCACACTTGTACACGCATATGCTTATTTAATAGGGTAAGAACCATTCCCAGGAAAACAGAGCCCTGTTGAAATCTGGGTCCCAGAACTGCCTTCCACTGTCCCAGCTTCGGCCCTCGAGAAACAGTGGTTTCCCCCAGCAGCAGACTTCGGTCTTCACCTGCTCTGCCAGATGCATCCTGACCCCACCTTTGACAGGGAGACCAGGGCGAATCGGCCTCCGTGTAAAATCTCACACAAGCTCACCGCCGGGACTGCCAGACCCCTCGTCGCTAAGCCGTGCTGGCCTGTCTCAGAAGATCAACCACACTGCCAGCACCCAGCAACCACAGCCTCACCAGCCACACAGCCAAGGTGGCTCTGAGCCCCACCTGAGCCTCACCCCTGCTTTAAGGGCTCCGGGAACCTGACAGCCACCCTCACCACTCTCAATGTAAAAGCGTGAGCTGGTGACAAGGACGGCCTGCGAATATCGCAGCCTCATGTCAGCCAGAACCGTTGGTGACAGGCTTACCGCGGCGCTTTCCTCCTGGAGGGTCGCCAGGGTCCCAGGCCTGGACATCAGCATCCGAAAGAGGCAGGGGACCGACTGGGACGCCTCGGAGCGCCTCCTCCAGACAGCCCCCCGGGGTTGGGGCAAAGGGAAGCAAGTGGCATCCAGGGCAGCACAGGTGGGGCCAGGGGCTGAGGTCCGAGTGGCTGATCAGATAGAGTTATTGTGCCCCAGGAAGGAGAAGGGATGGGGGTGCTGCCAGGACGGGAGGAACAGCGAGGAAGGGCTACAGAAAGGGCGCTGGGTGATTCGGGAAGCAGTGCTACGGAAAGCGAGGCCCTCCCAACAGGGCTTTCCCGTCCGTAAGGCATTGCACACGTACGCAGACATTTACGGTCCACGCAGGACCCACCGCCCACCAGCATCCTCACAACGGCCAGGTGCATCCTGGCCACTCCTGCCCACCAGGTCCTCCTCAGACCAGCAATACCCCCTGCAGAATCCACCCCAGAGCAGTCCACCCGGCAAGCTCCAAGCTCAGAAACAAACTCAGCCTTCCCAAAGGTCGCCCTGGCAAAGCCTAGCATACGGACCAACGCTACGAAATAAGCGAGAAAACGGCCAGACGACCCTGGCTGACTTCACCAGGCCTCGAAGCCACTCTGTCCAGCCTCAGAGGCGAAGACTCCTTTCTCTCGCTCTCTTTCATACCTAAGTACAAGAGAAAGCGCCTTTTTAAAAACAGAAAACGGGATCTTAAAAAAATGGTACAAGATGCTAAGTTCCAAAGGCTTCTTGGGATAAAAATTATAACCTTGTCCAACATTTGAGGCAGAAACAGAGAACACGGATGTAGACCGGACGGTCAAGGCCTGAATTCTGCGCCAACTGCGTCAAATCTCAGGCTGCTGGCCTCGCCTGGAACTACCCCCCACTCCCGAAAGGATGAGTTTGGGAGGAAAAGGAAGGGCCCTGGCTTGTGCCTTCACGGGGGATCTTTTCTTTCCTATCTGACAGGCTTCCAAGGAGGAATAAAGGGCAGCGCTTTGTGGGGACAGCTTGAGAGGACCCAGGGAGGAAGCAAAAATGAAAAAGAAAACAACCAAGAAATAATAAACCTCTCCCAGCTCTGCATCCCTGCCCCACTGCCCCAGGCCTGAAGGGTCTCACAGAGAGGCGCTGGCTGCCTGCGGGACTCGGGAAGCGGGACTGCACGTGGCCTCCTCCCGACCCAGGTAGCAGGTGACCGCACCCACTGGGCCCCGGCGGGCGGGCGGGCTGCTCGGGTCGGAGCCAAACGGGCGCGTCTGGCCGCTGAGGCCGGAAGCCCCGGGCCTGGCCGGTCTACTCCTGTTGGAAGCCTCGGCGCGCCTCCTCCAGGCAGCCCCCGGGCTCGCAGCACAGGGAGGCAGGTCCGAGCCAGACTCTGGGTCCGCGCGGCAGCAGGTCTGGGGTCTGGGGTCCGCATGGGGCGGGATCCGCGGTGCAGCCTGAACACTGAGCTGGGGCCCCGGCTCATCGGAGGAGAGGAGGCCGGGGTCCAGCTGGGTCCGCGGCGGGTGGCCAGCGGCGGGCGGAGGGCTGTGTCCTGATCCCACCTGAGTCAGGGTCTCAACCCGGATCGACGTCCTAGCCAGGGCCGGGTCCGCGACGGGAGAGGATCAGGGTACGGGCCCGGGTCCCAATCGGAGTCCGAGGTCCTGGGCCAAGCCAGGGTCCGGGGCCGAGTCTGGGCCGAGCCGGGGCTCCAGGTGTGGGCCCGAGCAGGGGTCCGGGGCCGAGTCTGGGGCTGGGCTGGGGGCCCACGCGCAGGCCCGGGTCCGGGTCCGAGTCAGGGCCCGGGGTCCAGGGCTGGCAGCGGCGGCACGCGCCCCAATTAGCCGCGGGCTGGGCGGCGGGGCTGGCGCAGCGGCCCCATTGAGGGCGAACAAAGGGCGCGACCCCGGGGTCAGGAGTCGCGGGCCGGGCGGCCGCCGCTTTGTTCGCCCGCCCTGTTTACTCTGCCTAAGTAAAGCTCACAATATAATAACTAAAGCGGATTAGAGGGTCGCGCCCCGAAGGCCGCGGGGAGGGCG